AGAGAGAGAGAGAGAGAGAGAGAGAGAGAGAGAGAGAGAGAGAGAGAGAGAGAGAGCTGGTCCTCCAGAATCGGTATGATACGAAGCCCCATTTCTTCGTGTCTCCCGGGCCACAGGCCGCATCGAAAATCAACTCTACGCGTGTCGCTACATAGCGCGATTGCAAGAATGCAAGCACGCGGCTTGTGCGCCGCAGCGATTCGTGAAGGCGCTGCGATCACGTGAACACCACGAGGCCGTGACGGCGCTACCGGAGTGTGTCGAATAGTAGCAGACAGCTGGCAGCTAGCGCGCGCCAGACTTCTCGTACTTTAAACGCGTGTCGTACGTGGCATAGGGTAGAGTGCCGTGCGATTGGCGACGTGCCGATCGGTTGAAACAGGGGTAAATTCTCGTGAAAAAGCTTCTCTCGCTATTTCGCTAAAGTTATCGTCGTGGTACGTCGATCGAATGACAACGATATAAGATGTCACTGTCGGCCGCTGTTTGCCAGAGTCGGTAATAGATGCAGTGAACAACGCAACCTGATATCACGTGAAAGAAAGAAAGAGAGAAGCAAACTCTTCTGCAGGCTTTTAACGTGATTTGTGTATTTGATCTTCCCATTCCGTATATGTACTCAAATTAAAAGTCCGAAATTAAAATTTTCAAATTAAAAATTAAAAGTCTCAAATTAAAAATTAAAAGTCTCAAATTAAAATGCGAATACGATATGCTGTGTCGACAATTATCGTGATGTCATTTACGGCTATATAAAAAACCTCGTTGGGAAGAAAATTTTGCAACTGCAACCGATGACATTGCCGGTTTTCAAATTATAAGATAAGAAAAAAAATAGACAAAAGTGATAAACCTCGTTGGAATCAGCGAAAGCAAATTCGTGAAGATTTTTTGAATTCGCTCCTTATTGTGGAGCAGTCATCGTTATTGCGAAAAACAAGTAAGTAGTGTCACTGCTTTCCATTACTCTTGCCATACTAAAGTAAATGTCTCAGTAACTGAACTTTTATTCTAATGATAGAAATATTAATAATATATTTATATTTAATATTTCTTAAAAAAACATTTGAAATTTTAAAATATATTTCTTTATATAAATTTGTAATATTATTTAATAACCATTCAACCACTGAGTTTGTATCACTCGGTAATTAGGATATGATTTATTCTTCAGTTCAATTACTGGTGCAATTAGCATTATATAATATATATCTCATTAAAATTATAATTTATATTTATTGATTATTTTATTTCCTGTTATTTCTCGATCGTTGACAAACTAATGTTTTATATATACGTTAGTTTTTTTAATAATTTCAGTAATTATTTATTAATAAAAATACAAAACTGATAAATCGTGCTTTATTATTAGCTCAGTCATTGAGACATTTACCTTATAATTTTAGTTAACACTTTTTGTGCCCGTGGGTGATCTAAATGTCCACAAACACTCATACCTCAATGCACGTATAATCGCTATTAATTTTAAATCTAGATTTTGTAGTAAGGAATGTTTTACCTTCTTACGATATATTATTTTTGATATTTATTTACTAATTATCGAGAATTGTTCGAACCTTTAGGTGTTAATATTACAATATTTTACACGTTCTTGGAAAGTAATTGTATTTGAATTAACAGAAAAGAGTAGAATTTAATGGTAGAAGCGTTGCTTGTATTAACTTTTAGCTGATAATAATATATTTTCTCAAGTATAATCTGCAGCTATGACGAACATAATAGAATCGTATATATATGTGTATATATATATATATATAAATACATATATATACGAGTATACGATATTCTATTATGTTTGTCATAGTTGCAGATTGTATTTGAGAAAATACATTATTTCGGAACGATGATTGGATCTAATGTTGAATGTTTCCCTTGAAATCAGAAGTGTCTTAAAAATAATATGAATAAAGTACATGTAGGATTCTATATATCACTTTGGTCTAAATATATGATAATATATAAACCATGAACGTGTAATATAATACGGAAGACCAGATAAATTGAATTTTAACAAAAGTTTTACAACAAGTCGACTTGGTTAGAAAAAAGAAATATATTTGTTAAAGAATATGACATATATTCATGAAAAGTTGATTATAATAAGAATTTGATTTATATAAAAATAATGTTAAATATTGTTGGAATTTTTCATTAAAAAATTGATTTAGGCATAAATTGAATTTTAGAGGCATCGTGATTTTAGCGAAAAATATGTGTTAAACATATATGAGGATAAAATTCTAATCAAATTTTAGATTTATAATTATAAATTTCCTGTTACAAAAAATGCCTATAAATAAAGAAGTTTTATTTTTTAAATGTGCATATGAACGTGCGCGTGTGTAATTGTGACTGTGAATAACGCGATAGACCTTAATTATAGTGCTCTAATTATATCTGTACGAACTTCAGTGAAATTCAGTGACAATAACATTTGCTATATTATCGTATCACGAAGGGGACTCTTTGTTTACAAATGAAATATGGGATAACTCTTACCTAACTCTTCAGCGCGTTCACATAATTTGTATGAGTATAGGTATATCACGTTATCATAGAGATTAGTATATTAACGTTACATGCAACGTTGATATATGTAATTATGTATGTGATGCACATTTTAAATCATTGTATGATGTTGGAAATTCCTCGACGACTTTATCGATTCAAAACCACCAAGTTTTTCTGCAATGGAGTTAAATAGTTACTTAGAAAAATGACTTCAGTTTATCAAAAATAACAAAAACTATTATGATAATGGAAATATTTTTTCATGAAAATTATAATTTTAAATTTTGCAAAAAGAAACGAATTAATTTACACATCTAATAAATTTTTCGGAAATTATGTAGTTGGATTGACAAAATCGGCGGTCACTTGCCTTCAAAGAAATATTGTATTTGCTGAACAAATTATACGGTAGTGCAACAAACAAGTTATATTTATATAGTTACTAAGTCGCAATTGTTAAATTTATGGATATATATATATATATATATATATAT